AAAGAGGTCTCATTCATAAAAATCGGTCGAATAGAACAGAAGTTACCGCATTCGAAATCCGAAGAAATGAACAAAACCTGGACTTTTCCATACAAAAAATAAAATGAAGAGAAGAAAAAAATGTATACATTTCAATTAAATATAATTTACCTCAGAATTTGACAAGCAATTCAATTATAGGTAAATTATTTTAACGGAGAAGGCATTGGGGGAACTTACAAAAATTCGTCTCTTGCAAGGGGGCTTCCTTGTAACAATTTTGACCTGAAGACAAGGATCAAATAGCAGCAGTACTCCATACAATACACGGTGTGCCTGAACGAGTTAAACATTTTTTACCCGTCCAAATCGAAAATTCGTTATGTTTTTTAACTACACTGTCTCTTTAGTCGTTTAAGCCAAGAAGAAGAAGAAGAAGAAAAAAAAATCCGTCGAGATTCTGGAAAATGAAGGCGCTTTAAAAGTATTCTGGGGCTATAATAGCTAAATCACTGGTAGTAAATCCCGTTATATTACTAAAAAGAAATTGAGTCCATAGTTTAATGCTTTATTCTCTTGAATACGATTATTTTAAGCACTTAAACATTTATACCACCAAATTTAGCCATGGGGTGATTTTCTGAGAGCCAATAATAACACGAATTTCTCGTAGAACCCTTGAAAATTGGCTTCCTTTTTGGGCAGCCGATTCGGCCATCGAACCAGGGTTTAAATGGAAGCTGATAATAACACGCTCTGAGAAAGATTTTGAGATGAGTATAGGAACGGTTTGTAAATAACGAGGAGAGGCGGGCAAAGCGGCTAAAATCCGATCAAATTTTTGCCATTTTTCTGTTGAGATGAGGTTGCCGCGGACTTCTGACTGTTTCCCCACATGATTTCGTGTTCAGCATATTGATACGCAAGTATTTTCACAAGTAGAATCTAGTTTTCCCGTTAGGGAGTGGACATATTTCGCTTTTCCGATTTTATACGGAAAATTGATAGTTTTTCGAGATTGAAATTACGTATTATTGTTCCATGAAAAATAAATGCGCCCAAATTGACTGTAGCATATTGACTTTTACATATGTGCACCCACAAAATTGATTAGTAAATTCAAAGAGTGGGTACATCGAGCTGGTATATCAAGTTTCCGCGATATTTTACGGCAAACCGGTAGATTTTCGGGATGTAGATTTCTTACTTTCAACTCATAAATGAATAAAGCATGGACATGGCTGAACTTCTTTGCATGGAAAGACGTTTAAAATAAAAAAATCAAGACATATTTAATGCAATTGCATTTATTTCGAGTCAATTTCTTTTCCATAATATAACGGGATTTATACTACCGGTGATTTGGGTATTTTAGCCCTAAAATACTTTTAAATCGACTTTATCTTTCAGGAGTTCGACAGAATTTTTTCTTTCTTCGCTTAATTATTCCGTTGCACATTTCTTCAAAAATCTGAGAAGATTTTGGTTGAGGCAGATCAAAAAACTTAAACTCGTTCGAATGGCTTTCTAAATTCACAATATGTACACGGTCTCGTCAAGGTGCGTCGTTGACCTCGCAGTGTTGAATCGTGGATTCTCTTGTTGTGCTGCTTGCCTATTTTAAAATCTCTGTAAATGAAAACTAAGGGGCTGACATGTGTGAATTAATGACGCGCCTTATCAGCACATTGTGTTGGAGTTCACTGCTTGTTTTCAGTTTCGTTGTCCTTCATTTCGTTGAAGATTTACTACTTTATTTGTGTACGTCGAGTTAAAACTGTGATCAGATTTTTATATTATTTAATTTTTTTTTTTTTTTGGCTAATTTATTTTTTAGTCGCTTTTGCTGTTTAGGCGGGTATTATATCTGACGTCCAGATTTCAAATCGGGTGGCCGAAGTTTTAATACGTACAGAATTTTTAGAAGATTATAGTTCATTCCGTACCTGTTTTTTTTTTTCTCTTTCTTGCTCATACTTTTTGTAAATGAAGTTTTATTTCCTTTTGGAAACGGAATAAGTTTTGAAGATTTAGCTAGTTTCTTTTTGTTTAATTTTTTTTTCCAATGACGTAAAATCTTAATTTTTTCCCCCTATTTCTCTCAATATGATTTTTCCTCTTCCTTTCTTATGCTGGTCAAAAAATTGACTGAGTGAAGTTTCTAGTAAGTAGGTCTGAAGTATCCTAATTTTACCCTGCAAGACTTGCATTGAAAATTAATTGCTTTCAATTTTGGAAAGATCGGTGGAATTTTTCCAGCATTTTCGTAAAAAAGGAGGGGTATCGATAAGGGCCTTTTTTGCCCCCTCCTGGAATCTGGAAATTTATGCGGGTTTTCCAAGTTGACTCAATGCAGTTTATGGAAATTTTCATGACTTAGCCTTAGGCCACTGAATACGTGTTAAACGGTTGCCTAAACATAGGTCTCCAGGCGTATTTTAGGGAAAATTCGTGTTTTTCTATCACCCCCCAAGGCTTTTTTGACACCGAGTACAACGTCTAACTAAAACGAGCTTTTGATATGTTATCAAGGAGGCTTTAGGACACATTTTAACCCTGGTTTGGTTTTAATTAGATGATGCGCTCATAGTTAAAATTTTTTTTTTTTCAAAAATCGACGTTTAAGGGACATCCGCAAAAATCTTAGGGAATTACGCCGTTGGGGATTTTTTTTGGCTACAGTTAAAGAAAATCTCCTTGTGAGGGTGTATGAAGGCACGTTGAAGACACGTGTTCCCTATGATTTTGCGGATGTCCCTTAAACGTCGATTTTTGAAAAAAAAAAAATTTACTATGAGCGCATCATCTAACTAAAACCAAACCAGAGTCTTGTAACGAAGAAAGATATCGAGGTCCGGTTCGGACGAAAAATCGTCTAAAATTGCATTCTTTAAGATTCTGGAGCTCCAAATCCCGATAGCACATTTCCAAATTAACGTATGTGCTTTTTTTTGTTTTTGAGTCGATAAAATTTCTCTTAAACAGAGAATTCACAAGGTACTTATTTTTTTTATTTGAACCAAAACCGGGTTTTAAATTGTTCGTCTTTTTCCGCATCCAAGGAATGGTCTATAAGGCTGGGGAAATAAACGGTTCCAAAGTAATGAGTGATTGAAGTTCCCGCTCAACGCGCGCCGACCGATTTGCGCGCGCCAAAATATGGTTCCAAAGCCGAATTTGGGTGTTAATAAATCAGATTAAGTGGTCAAATCTTGCAAAATACATTTTCAAGGATTCTTGAGGGTCGCTCAGTTCAAAAATTACAGATACTTCTAAGAATGCACTTTTTTCCGTAGTGCTATCATAGAGGCCCACTAAGCGGCCGGTCGGTCCGCACTCAGTGAGCCTCTCAAGTAGCGCTACGGAGCTGTAATTTTAAAAAAAGTGAAATTTCCGAAACATGTGTAATTTCTGAACTCAGCGACCCTCAAGAATCCCTAAAAACTTATTTTGCACGGTTTAAACATGTAATCTGATTTAATAACACCCAAATCTGACTTGTGGGTGCGCGAAAATCAGTCAGGGCGCGTTGACGGAAACTTCAATCGCTCATAACTCTCGAACCCTTCGGTTCCCCAGCTTAATGGACCACTCGTTGGATGAGGAATAAGACGAACAATTTTGAAAACTGGTTTTGGTTCAAATAAAAAAAAAAAATAGGTACCTTGCGAATTCTTTGTTCAAAAGAAATTTTATCGACTCTAAAATTGAAAAGAATCACATATGTCAATTTAAAAATGTGATATCGAGTTTTGGACCTTTAGAATCTTAAAGTATCCTGTTCGATCGATCTTGCTGATTTTTGGTTCGAGGGGGTATTTTTTGATGGGAAACTCAAATTTCCTACCCGAATTTCGAAAATTTGAATTTTTTTCAAATTTTGACTATGAGCTTGTTCGTTAATTTTTGATTTTTGCATTTTTTGAAGTATTAACTACTCATAAGCCACAAGAATTTTCGCCGATATTTTTCGAATTTCAATCCACGAAAAACAAGTTTGAGATTGCGCCTTCCGAGTTCCCCTTTAAACGCGTGTCTCCGAAGAATGAAAGATCCCCTGAGTAAGGTCATTTTCGACCACATCCACCATCTTGGATTTTCGAATTTTTTAAATTAGACCAAAAATTCGAGTTTCCCGTCCCTAGATACTCCCTGGTACCAAGATTCACCACGATAGATCGAACAGGAGCCAAGATAGCATCTTAGGCCACATCCGCCATTTTGGATTTTCAAATTTTTAAAATCTGACTAGAAATTCTAGTTTCTCGTCCAAAAATACACCTGGTACCAAAAGTCAGCAAGATCGATTGATCAGGAGCCGAGATAGCATTTTGGGCCACATCCCTAATCGTGGATTTTCGAATTTTCAAAATTTCACGATTCACGGGTTTCTTGCCGATTCACGGGTTTATCGATCAATTCACGGATTTTTCGAACGACTTACGGGGTTGTCAATCGATTCACGGATTTGTCGATCGATTCGCAGGTTTTTGATTAATTCACGGTCGTCAATCGAATCAGTGCCGATCGAATCACGTCAATCGGTTCACGTTCCTAACTTTTCGATCGATTCATGTCGGACATGTCGGATTCATGACACCAGTTTTTCAATAATTTGTCGATGGAGTCGGTGTCGATCGATTCATGCTTTCATATTCCGATCGATTCATGTCGATCGAATCTATAAACCCTCCCGTCCAAATTGCATGTTAATATTTGCCACCATTCTCGAAATATTAGCATGTCTGTAGGTATCTATATTTTTGGTACACCCTGTTTTTGGTATAATATCTTTCCGCAAGGACAATACACCTCCCCTCTTCCTGGTATGATGGGAGGAAGGGGGGTTTTCTCTGTTCGGGTTAACCCTCCAGTGTGTAATAGTGACACCAGGGTCGTCTCCCCTATGCAGTCAGTGCTAAAACAATCTATAGTCCCTAATTACAAAATGAGCCTCCCCGGATTCTTCATTTTGCAATAATTCACTCTAAACGCAATCACAGTGTTCCCCCACGAGAACTTCCTAGGAAAAGTAAAGAAACTTACTAGGGGCCCTGCAAAGACGCTTCAGCAAGTGGCCAATCGTTTAAGCGAATTATCTAATTGCAAATTAATGAGCAAGCTGTACAGTTGCAAAGCTAAGCCAGAAGTTTCATTTCAGAACAGACACAATGACGGACCACTCCCTTTATTTCATAGAAATCCGCAGTACAAAACTTTGATTCTTCCAGATTTTAAATTGACTATTGCCAATTCCTCCTCTTCTTATTGCCAAATGAGAAACGAAGACATCGTTCAGATTGAAAACTTCGCCTATTCAGTGCAATTAAGAGAGGTTGTGATAATTGGTAAAAAATTCACTGACTTAACAAGTTTCTACGGTGAGCCTCTCCTACAGAGTTCTTCTTTAGGAATCTTCAAAGGTAAACATTTGTCGGCTAGGAAGCATTGGCAAATCTCGGAAACAATGACCAAGTACACGGCACTTCCGCTGAGTGACTCCCTTTTTTTGGCTCCCTTGCTGCATACGGTTTAAAGTAAGACATTTTTTTATTAGGATTATTAAGAAACTCTAGTGATGTAGGCTGTTCAACTCTTCTACATCTTTTTCCCCCTCTCATCTCCTTTATTTGTACCAATTCCTTGAATTCCTCATTTTTCATCAGAAAGTGTTAGTGTTATTTTACGTTTATCTTTATTTTTAGCTTCATTTTTGAAAACTTAAACTTTTGCACTCCCATCAATTTTACTTTTAAGTTGTGTGATTTCCCATGTTTTCCTCCTCATTTGCACACTTACAGAAATTCAAAATATATGCGCAGTTAGGTTACCATTATTCATTTATTTATTTATTTTTCTGTGGTGGTAACAAGAGATAAAAAAGTGATAAGTAGCTATGAACTTAATTGAGATGACTGCAGAGATTTGACGAAATTGAAAAAAATCAGAATCTTCATAAGTTATTTTTATTTACTTAAAAACACTAGGAACATAAATAATGTTTGTGTATATGGAGCGACTGTTCAATTTATTGGTCGATAGGTGCATGAAGATTTTTTTATGTAGGTAGTATCTGAGATGCTCAGATTTCTCTTGCAGAATGGTTTCAAATACTGAACTTCTCATGAAAGCTTCAGGATTTTGAGTGTCATCAAAGATTTTTCTCAGTTTTTCCTCCTATTCCCACTTTGTCTACAAGTTTTCATGCTTGCACTTTGACTTGAATTTGATCCATCGTTTCCTTAGTCAGAAATGTATTGTTGTCTCTCCACTTATCTGATAGATTGTCCTGTGATATGCACAGTGTTCAGTGTGGGTCCGACCTTGCATGAATTGTTTTAAAGTATATCCTCAATGTTTAACATCCTGTTTAGTATTTTTCTTAATTATCCTCTCTTTTCTCTCTTACAGAATTTGGACCCTAATTTTCAAAGTTGAGTGTGATGAATACGATTCGGTTCCCAACAAGTGGATCCTGAATGATGGACTGGCTAAATATCCAGTAGACGCCACAGCAACAGAAATCAAAACTTTAGCAAAAGGAGGAAATGACATCAAAACCTTTGAACCAATTCCTGTACAAATCATCAAAGAATATGGTAGGCTGATGTTTAAATGTCACTCATTCCTTTTCTAATGAAATTCTCCTCTTCAAAAGATGCTTTGATATGTTTCGTCACGCATGACATTCTCTACATTTCTACATTCTCAAAGTACCCGCTTACAATCTGTATGTCTCAATTAAACATGACATAATGGTGGTAGGGATTCAACCACAGCAAACTGTGTAGGTATGAAACAGCTCTCTTCACCTGAGAAGTCAATCAGAAAAGAGTTTTTAAACAGAAAAGACCGATTCCTTCTGCCAAAAGGTGATAAATATTTCACAATCTTTATTTTCCTTCAACTTCTCTAGGTCAAATGCATATCATCTCGATTGTAACAAAAATCTATTTCCATTTATTGTTTCAAAATCCTCTTTGATTTGATGTAAAGAAATTCATTCCATCAAGGTTTTGTTTGTGTGTCAATGTTCTACGATGGTGCACCTTCAAATGTATTTTTAAAACATGAAAGACCAAAAATATCCGAATTTGAAACTTCTCTCCAAAACAAGACCAAAAATTCAAAGAAAAGGGTTAGAGAGAAATGTCCTGAAGCATATATTTAGTCAATCAACAAAATTTTTCAAATTTACTAAATCCTGACAGTATTGCTGGGCAAGATGTAATTAATTAATAGAGCCTCAATGATGTGATGCCCCTTCAATAAATTGCAGACCCCTAAGGAAAAGTAATGAGTCTAGCCTAGAGTATAAAAAAAAGAAGTTATTTTATTCTGCCCTTAATTGCACAAACCTGATCAAAAATGCTCATGAAACATGATCATTTCAAATTCAGATGTGACAGTGAAGTTGGACTGGACAGTCAGAAACTTCATTATGGCTCAGTTATAACTAGCCTGGTTCTATGTCTCTCTTTCACCTACACATTTTTATTTTAATGAAGATAAGAATTGGATGAAAATTAACAATATATTTTTGCCATCATTTCAAGTTTTTAGCTCATACTTTTTCACTTGCTGTTCCAGACACCTACGAGAAGTGCAACACCAATGCCTGGCGTTTAAATAGTCACCGCAAGGTGCTTTCGGAGTCCGAACAGGAAGCAAAAGGAAGAGGTCAACGCATAAAAAGGAGGAAACACCTCTCATCTGACGATAACGATGAATCAGAGGAAGAAACGCAACCGAAAGTGTCCAAGAAGAAAAAATCATCCTCAAAATCTCAAAAGCTTGAAGAAATGCGCCAAAAATTGACAGAAGTTGCCGAAGGTCTGAAAAAGACCGAGTTACCCACGCCCCCTGACAATCGTCCTAAAACCTCAAAACCTAGCTCCTGTACTGAAGAATTTCATCAATTAACCATCGCTTCAGCATCCTGTTCGAAAGATTCCGCCAACAATTTTTTAATTGTCGATGAAGGTGGTCCAGAGGCCTTAGATACGCCTTCCCCTCTTAAAAGACTAGCTGCAGCGCCCCACGACACAGGCAAGCCCTCTCCTATCAACCGCAAATCTCCAAACAAATCACAGTGTCAAGAGTCCGTGAAGAAACAACTATTTACAGAAAAAGAAGCCCCGAAGAAAGGGAAATGTAATATTGGGAAGAAGGTTAAACACTCACGCGGCTTCTTGCTGCAGTGTCCGCGAGATGAGGCGGTGCTGTACATTTTATGCAAACTCTCTGGTGAGTAGCTATTTTAAGTTTTAGAGTACCTATTTATATTCATCAAATTTCGTTGTCGATTTTTTTTTCCTACTATAGTATCTCCAAACTTGTTTACAGCAATTTATATTGAAAGCATGCAAATCCCAGGTGTTGTCCAGAGCTGTCTGAACGGTCTAGTCTTAGTGCTGGGCACTTACGATCTGCATCAAATGATTTAGTTGATTGAATCCACAGTCCTCATTAAAATAATGGATCGTTAGGAACATAAAATGAATGGTCCAAATAAGAGCTGTTGAAAATTCAATTAGGAATCAACTTTAAAAATGTCTCTGACTCTAATGGATTATTATACTTTCTTAAGATCCAAAAGCTTCCTGGCTTCGTAAGTGTTATGATTTGAAATTTTAGCCTCTCTTACACATTAAGAGTGTTGTGCTTAGTTTTTTTACCACGTATTTCATGTAATATACGGGTATTCAAATTACTAATAAGTTTCCCCAAAGTAAGTCGTGCCTAACTAAAGTGATATTCTTGAATATTCTAGCTGATGTGACTAGCATCCTGCATTATCAAAAACGAGCAAAATTAGCTACTCCTGCTCCTGGACAGGAAGCTGAGAAGAAAGATGTTGAAGAAGTGGCTCTGCCAGAGTGCCTTCTGAGTATTATACCCTGCCTAACCAAGGAAGATTTAATGAAAGCGGAGGAACACCTCAAGGATGAAACGCTCTTAAACACCGTGGTGAGTGATGAAAAAATTATTTTGATGCCCTAATGAAAAAAAACTCATGAAGACATTTAATGTAGCATTCTATGTGTGGTTTAATTTTAAAATTCACAGTAAATCCTCATTTTTGTAGTCCCACATTTTTTAAGGATCACACTCTGACCTATGTGTAATATTGATGCATTGCAAATGCATTAGACTTTTCCTGAGTACCTAGACAGTAATTTAGTTTTGCATTACTCCAAAATTGAAGGTTTTACATTGCCAAATTTCTTCCTGATTATTTCAATTTCAATTTTGTAACTTAAAACTTATTACAAAGTTCTTGACGCCTAATGATACCAAGGTTCAATGAAAAACACCTATCTGGATTCTTTGCCGAATTTACATTATTTTCAAGTTAGATAATTTACTCTTGTAGTTTGTTGATACGAAAGCATGAGCCCACAATAGTACTTAAAATTTTTAAGTATACCCCTGAGATAAAGCTGATCAGAAATATGATGAGACTAGGGCTTAATACCTGGTATCTACCGCTAGGTACTTAAAAATGGAGATCAAAAGGGGAAATGGAACCATGTACATACATTGCTGCTGACTTTATTTTCCATCAGAGGTTGTTGTGCAAATCGAATGAGGCATGAATGTGGGAAGATGTTTAAAGAAACTCCTCTAAACCACTGATCAAATATCTTTTAAATGAATTATTTCATGTAGGTATAAGATTAAATTCTTAAAGTGGAATTTGTTTTCTGTTGCAGGCCCAGCATTTCGAGTCCCTATTTCAAAACGACCAAGGGTTAACTAAAACAGCAAGGAACATCACTCGAGAGTGGATGGCGAAGGAGGTGCAAAAATTGTACTCCTTGAAAGGAGGGCATGCGCAGAAGAAACTGAAAGCAGGAGTGCAAAAGAAAGATGCTTTCAATCAGTTAAGAATCTACACTGTCATCAAAAGTAAGTTTTTGTCATTTTTGCCATGAGAGAATCATTTACAGCACTTTATCAGTTTAAAAAATTAAAGGGAAGATTAATTAATGAATGTTGATGCTGTCATAGTAGACTTTAATGTTTAAGTTTACTCTGTAAATTTTTATACATTCTCATCGATTTTTTGAAGCATGCCAGGAAATGGGAAGTTGGAAAAGTTTCAAGAAACCACTTTAGCATTGTCTGTAATTCCTTTCCATTCAGGTAGGAATAAAGGAGACAATTTTATTTTTCGTACTTCGTTAAGTTAAAGCATCCTTAACTGCGGTAAGAACTTCATTCCGCTGAATTGTATCAAATTTAAAATTTCTTTATCCCTAAGCATTGTGGTGAGAAAAAAAAGAGAGACTTGTTGTGACCGAAATCTGTCTATTTAGCCCTGCATCCCAGAAAAAGCAGTGGCGTAGCGTGAAGTATTCCTATTGCTCGCGCATGACCTGTTTTTGATCTGAGCCTTTAGCCAAGCAAGAAGGTAAGGAGATCTTCATTTCTCTACCCATGTTACTCGCTAAAAACCCTGCTACTAAGTATGAGCAATTTATCATGCAAAGCTCATTTTATTGCTTTCTCCTACAGTTGTTTTTTTTTTTTTCATATACTTTATAAACGTTGTAACTCAGACCAAGTGTTCTCTTAACATAAGACTCAAGTATTTTCTTTGTATTTTTTTTTTGCAGAAGTTGTTAAAAGCCTGTATGGCCGAAGTGTATCCAATTACCGAGAGCAGATGGATAACACAATTGCGACCTTCTTAACCCGCGCAGATGAAAAGAAAGAGGAAAATCCTGCATAAACTGGTAGAGGCATTGGCATCTTTTTTTCCTACCTACATATCTCCATCTCGATGCTGTATTATTTCATTTTTTTCATCATCATGTGTATGGAACTTTGCTAATTTGCCATCTGTTTTGCAATTTCAATTTTTCTTCTTATTTAAATGTACTGTGTTCCAGTCATTTTTATTTTTTTTTATTTTTGAGTGTTACCCAATGACACCTCTAAATTCTCATACAGGGTGAAAAAAACCGAGTGTGCATTGAGGCCTTTAGATCTCGAGGACCAGTATCGTAAATGCATTGCAGCTTTTCGTATTTCCAACTGATAAATGTTTAGTCCTTTTTTGGAAAATTTTTGGCTGTCCTTTTGATAAACTAATCACTCTAATCTCTCTCGTTAAATGTTAATATCAGAGACTGAGCGTTCATTTGATGCCTTAGAGCACAGGTGTCAGTATCATGAATGCATTTTAACTTCTCAAAATTTCCAACTGTTTTATGTCTAGTCCTTTTTTGGAAAATTCTTGGCTATCCTTTTGATAAACTAATCACTCTAATCTCTCTCGTTAAATGTTAATATCAAAGACTGAGTGTTCATTTGATGCCTTAGAGCACAGGTATCAGTATCATGAATGCATTGTAACTTCTCAAAATTTCCAACTGTTTTATGTCTACCTAGTTCTTTTTTGGAAAATTGTTGGCTGCAACTAATTACTCTAATCTCTCTTTTTAAATGTTAATAACAAAGACTGAGTGTTCATTTAAGGCCCTCAGAGCACAGCTATCAGTGTTATAAGTACATTGAAACTTGTCAAAATTTCCTAGAATGTATTATTTTTCCCCCAATAAACCATCGCATGAAAAGCCATGCAAATTCCAGTGGTTTTCCTCTCAATGAAATCAGTAACATTTTAGAGCTGTTCTTACAGTAGTTTAAGCAGGAAAACCTAATACATTTTTGAAATTTTTGAACCATCACAATGCACTAAATGGGTTTTTTCTGCTATCGAGGCCTCTTTACTTATTGACTGTCTATTACATTCTTTTGTCTGTGTTATTAAATTCTTAAAGTCCTGTTTGTCTTTGAGTAATTATTTCATGTACAACTTTCTCTCACCACTTTCTTTTTGCAAGTTTTGTTTTTTTAGTTAAGATAGAAGTGCAGTTCAATTTATTCATTTATTTTCTCTTAATTTTATTTGTTTGTTATTCCATTGTGTCAGGCAATTTAGAGTCTTCACAGAAATACAATTTTGTGTTCTTGAAATAAGTGTATTTTTATTCTATTATATTCCAAAATCTTGAGATGGTAAGTTGAAGCAGTTTGCTACAGAGTTATTTCAGTAGGATCATCGCATTAAATGTCTGGTGAGATGAATATTTTTTGATATGACTGCAAAATGTCAGTGAAGAACGTCCTTCGAAGGAAGTTATAAAGCATATATTTTTGTGTAATTTCATTCTATTTTTCCCTTTTAAAGCAAATGTCACCAATTGTAAAAGTTTTACTGTCAATTTATTGAGTAGTGTTTATAGGGGAACTTTTCCTCAAGCATAGAGCCCTCTAAATATTTTCATCTCAAGTTTCAGGTAATTAAGTACAAAGATAAGAGTGATTTCTCATGATTTTCCCTCCCAGGTTCATCAGGCTCCTGAAAAAGAGGAGGGAAGGAAGGGGTAAAAGTTTCCCCAAACAGTTCCCTTTTTTTGCAGCTAGGTTCCATGATGTTCCAAATTTTCCGTCTGAAAGTTCCAACTTGTTGAAACTTTTTTGATTAAAGCATCCACTTTGTTGTTTGGAAGTTGCAACTTGTTGCAACTAGGTGGCAAGAAAGTTGGAACTTAGTTGGAACTAAGTTTCAACAAAGTTTCAAGTTTGTTGCAACATTTTGGTCGGAAATGGCTACTTGGGAAGGAACAATAGGGTTGTAATTTTTGGCAACAGTGTGATGTTCTCGCAGAATCTATCAACACACGGTGTTAAAGGAACTCTATAGCTATAAAATGAACCATCAAACCGCAACATTGATCGTTTTGAGGAAAAACTCCAATGGTTTCTTCAAAAACGCATTTGACTGGGACGCCAGTCCCATCGGGTGGAGGAGAGTGACAATCGTAGATCTCCTTCCACGATTTGACTCGTTAAAGTAGCGAAATTTCATTTTTACGTCTTGAGAACATTATCAATTGCGCAGGGGTCTAAAAACTGCTCAACGATAGTGCAGTTCGAGTTTTGAATCGCTATGAGCACACTCGTGTTTTTTTCTTATACGTTCATCGCATATAAATTTCCCTGATGTTTCTGTTTTATTCTCTCTGATTGCATAAGTAATTATATCCTCATTTCATTTCCTTTCCCATTCATTTTTTCTTTTTTAGTAGCATCTGTGTTATTCATCTATGTGTACAATTCTTATATTAAGATAGTTTCCCCTACATTTGAAGCTTCGAACGGAATTAATTTTTTTTTATGTCATGTCCTTAATCATGGGTTTTCCCAGGAAGGCAGCCTCTAGTCCCTCCAAGACTTTACTGTTGCCAGATAAGTTCATTTTTCATGACCTTTCCCAGTTCAAACCCACGTAAAATATTCACATTAATTGCACAATGTGGCAACCCCTCGAATGAAATAGGAAAAGGTGGAATCGCTTAAAAGTGAAATCCTTCAAAGTTTATATTAATGATATAAAAAAGAGGAAGAGAGGTTAGGTATGGTAGCCCGAAACACACGACAAAAAACACAAAAATCAGTGGGAAACAAGGCTAAAATCAATAAAATAAATATGCAGGACGTTTCGGCTGGTCACTCGAGCCTTTATCAACCGCTAAACACAAATAAAAAATTAAAACCAAGTCTAAAAAAACCACTACATTAAAACGCGTGTGATCAGCCCAGACGGAAATTAGGACTAATCCAAAATTTCCGGATATTTCCGTCAAATATAACAAGTTGTTGAATCCCGTCCAAAAAAATAAATAAATAAACAATAATTATAAAAAAAAATGAATGGGGTTGCTTTGAATAGTATGATTCGATTCCCGGATTGTAAATGTTATTATGTCCTGCAGTATTGTTTAAATTGAAATTTTCAGGTATTTGAATATCGACTGAACCTATGAGGTTTGACAGAGTTTCCTGTCACCCACGATATCTTCCCTCAACATGGTTAAATAATACGTCGGAAGTTTAGTAAACGCTGTAACGTGAACAATTGATCAATAATTTTGCAAACCTATCGATTTTTAGAAAGGTAGATAATTACGTACATCTTGCAGAGTATCTTTAGTTAATGCCAATATTTTTAGTTGTTTTCAAGTTATGAGGCTGAATGCGTTACCTACTTTTCAGCCGCGCCTCGTAGACGCGGAGGATAGGGTAGGTGAAGGTAAGAGTACGCACGGGGCAAAAGTACGCACCGCACTTTTTTCGCTCGCTTTGTTTGAATTTGTGATGACACCGGGTGTTCGTTGTTGGCAACGTTGAGTTTCACTTGTTGACGAAGTTTTGTGCAGATCGGACGTGTTTCCACGGAATTATGAGGAAAGTTCACTTTTCATGAAAAAAAGATCGTTTTTTTTTTCAAATTGAATTGTCTGTTGTGAGTAGAAAAGTTGATGGAAAAAATCGGACAAGCACCATATCAAAGTGTTATAGTGTTGGCTTTAATAATCCGTGGTTGTTTTCACACCTCGGGCCTTGGGCTCGAAGTTTTAGGTTATGTTGTCCAATGTTTACAAATGGGGCAAGAGTACGCAGCCAGAATGGGGCAAAAGTACGCGCCCAAAAGTGGGGCGTAGTGGGGGAGGGGGGTATAGGAACTTCAAAATAGAAGATGTAGGCAACTTAATAAGTATCATAATAAATTTTTATGTTCCTTTGTTTAGTTTGGGCAATTAAACTTTTTTATTTTTCTGTTTTAAAAAAATTTACTTCGAAAATTTTTTGGGAGTTTTTGGAGACTGAATTATTTTTTTTTTCATAGTAAAAGTGGTTAGGCACTATTACAACCCTTTGCGACCAGTTTCAGTCGTTTTCCGTTATTTTTCAGCGATTTTGAGCCCGGGAGACGTTTTTTGAAAAAAAATTTCACCTGCGTACTTTTACCCCATGAAATGGGGCAAAAGTACGCATTTTCAAATTTTTTTTTAAAATTCGTCACGACCATGGATTTTATTTCTAAATTCGGACATCGCACGGAATTTGTGCGCGAGGGCTTGTAGTAGATGCCTGGCCACTTTTCCCGCCCTAAAAGTCGATTCGGTCACAGAGTAACGGAAAAAACGAAAAAATGCGTACTTTTACCCCCACCTACCCTATTGCATTGTTCCCTCAAAGGACTCCCGCCATGAATGTACACACCTATAGAGATGGAATATCCCGAGATCTTCATTCGTCATTTGCTCAGGATAGATGTCGTCAGATATGGTCCTTTTCTTCGGCCACAGTGAGAAATAATCACCGATCCCATTGAAAACAGACTCGTGAAACCCTCGGGCATCAATTTCTGAAAAAGATCAGAGACAAAACGCATGTACTTAAACAGTTGATACATGGGTCTCATTAAAAGATGCCCCCGGTAAAATGCTAAAGTTCAAATGCAAGTGCTAATCGGCAGTTTGATCCACTTTTGAAGTTCAAACCAGTTTGGAGAACCAGTTCGACGAAATGCTAATGGGCAAACGGACTAACTTTTGAAGATCAAACCAATGGACCTGTTGCAAACTATTGCCAGAGCAGAATTAAGAGTTGTTTCCTATAGATAATGCCTCAAACATCACGATGGGCGCATCGGCAAAGTCTGAAATGCACTCATAAATTCACAATCTGCGTAAGAAATTTGCGTTTTTTTGAGCTTCCCGCTTCAAAAACGCTACTACTGCACAGGTGAACATTCTGTTAGAGGAGTCGCTCCATCGCACAGTGGGACGAAATTGGTAAAACCTCGGACATGGGGTGTTCTCATGTTTTGCATAAAGATGTGATGGAATGTGTTCCTAAGGATCCATATTATATGAATCTAGTGTTGGTTTGATGATTTTTTCAAATGCTTTTGCTCCCTGGACTCCTGAAGTTGACATTTTCTGTAACGGCCGATTTTGCTCTATTTTCTAAGGTCGGTTTCCATACCTGCCTCTTCGAGTGACGATAATTGACACAAATATGAATGCTTGGATCTTATTCTAGAGTGTATGAAGAACATATTTCACTATTAAAAAGTTAAATTTACTGAATTGTATACGTTGTAATGTCTGATCAAAGATGACCCTTCCCTGGTAAAAATGATAGGTTGATATCAGTTATAATCAGTAGCGGAAATGAACTGATATTAACTGATTTTAACTGATATCGACGGTTACCAACTGATACCAGTTGAAAGTCTACAGATATTTGATGAGTAACAGTTGGCACCAGTAGAGGTTACACTGATACCAACTGATACCAGTTGAAAGTCTCCAGATATTTGATGAGTGTCAGTTGGTACCAGTAGAGGTTGTACTGATACAAGGTTATACTCAATAGATCTATGTTGAGCCTCAATAGGTAACAGTTGAAATTTGCTACGTATCACTTGAGGTTCAATTGATATCGGTCCAGCATGAACTTTCATCTGTTGAACATCAACTGATCCAAACAGAAATTCAATAGACGTCAATTACAAGTTTAAACTTAGTCCAATGAGGCTACGTATGCATTTTAACAGGACGATCTGGTTGGCATGTTTGACAAGGCCCACTAGGCCACTTCATTAAGGCATCTAGACTTCAGGGCCACTACATCGATAGAGATATTTATATTATTTTAGTCCTTTTTCCATTCAATTTTTTTCTACGGTAGGTAAATGCATTATTTTATGGTTTTAAAATCTCGAATACCTTATGCTGATAATTTGAAATTCTACGGCCGTTCAAAGATTAAGTCACTTGCTAAAGAAAGGAGGAGTTAAAGGACAGTGCAATACGTAGGTGGGTACCCAGCGCTGCTTGCTGTTACACAAAAATCGGTCCTTCACACCAGTTCCATGGGTTTGTCGGCACAGGAGCATGAATTTTATACCAAAAACTCTGTGCGATGCCTACTTCAATTTGTTGTGATTTTGATCAGGAGAATCCCCCATGTAAAAGGGGGTATAATGTGTAATTTTTGAGCCGCTCCCATCGTAACTGATCTCATATAACTAGATACTATATTTGGTTGATACCATTCCCAGTAAGAATTTTTTCCCCCTACAAAAAAGAGATAAATTTTAACCTTTTTTTTCTTAA